ATCACTCTGTCCTTGTTAAGACTTAAGAAGTACATTGAACTTTCATGTAAGAATCAAAACACAGATAAAAGTAATGAAGTCAGCCTGAAATGTAATGAAGCTCTATTTTACATATTAATATCCCCATTCAAACAATCAGCAGAAAAATGCTTTTGAGGGATTCTGCAGAGTTTAAAGGTGACTTAAAAAAAAAGTCCATAAGGTCCTTGCTGGTGATCTTTTGTCTTCATAATGCACAAAGAAAGTACAAAATGGGGTTTTAGACTTCATAGAGTGGCCCGTATATCAATAGAGGTTTGTTTTATGAACAATTTCCTACTCCCTATGACACAAGCTACCGCTTCTCTCATTCTTGTTCAGACAGCCTACCAGGTACATCCACAAGGGTTGCTTATATGAAAAAGCAATAGATTAATGTACTTTTCAGTCTTAAATGCAATTTAGGTATTGGAAACAAGGCAAACCAGCAGCCTGTGACTAGTCAGCTTTCCAGAGACTAACAGGAGGTGCTCCAAGAGCCACTGCTGGTCCAGTGCTTGGCTGTATGAACTGTCAGGGAAACCTGCCCATTTTATGTTGCTTGTTATCTGATTAGGTCAGTTCTACTGATTGCCTGCAAAGAATCTGATACACTTAAAAAAAAAAAAAAAAGCCACCTCATTGTTTTTCCCTTTTAATTAAATACTGACTGATTGTATCTGTGATGTAACTATTGATATAACCTGACTTTCCTTAGCACTTTGTTTGATTTTGAGTTAGACTGATGAATCGGCAGAAGACATCATTCCAGTCATTTGTAATTCATAAAGTATGGGAGACAGGCAGGTGTAGAATAGATTTCATCCAGATTGATTGAGGGGTCTTAAATCTATAACCTCTGAGAAATAGATTGTTTTTTTCTTTTGAGTGACAGCTTTCTTTTCAAGGAAGCACAGTTCTTTAGACATAGGTAAATTTGCAGTATTTAAAATTAGGACAGAGATTGCTTATTACAAAAATTTAATCCATACACCTGATCCACGAATGACTTTTTATATGGCTATATGAACTTTTCAGTCAAAATAAAAGGCCTTGCTGAAGTCCAGAAAGACTACATCCACCGCGACACCTGCATCCATGGCCTTTGTGACCTGACAAAGGGTGGTGTGGGTGTTGTTTTGGGTTTGGTTTGGGGGGGTTTTGGGACAGTGTAAGATCAATATTCTGGCATTCTAATGAACATCCTTTTGCTGCATTTTCATTTTGTATTTCTCTAGTTCTTGTTTCTAAGACTATATGTATACATTTTATGTCTGTTTCTTATCCCAGTGGCTGCATGAGCCTGGAGTTCAGCAAAGTAACTATTTTCTTTTAAACAGTGCTTCAAAAGCATCTTACTAATTTATCCTGTGCCTGTTTCAGTTACATGGCTAATTTCTTTCATCTGCAAATAAGAAGTTTGCTATTCTAGAACCTATTTGCCTGAGAGACAACTGGTGTTCAACAACAGCAGCCTTAGCTGGCTGCAAGCAAACAAGGGGAGTTTAAGCTTGTTCAGAGAACTCCTAACATAGCGATAGTTTTATAGGTGAAAGTGGTACGTGTAGGTTAGGTTAATAAGATAGAATTATGATGGGGCATATTACTTGTCTGAATACTGAAAGCCCAGAGAACTGGGCAGGCCCACCCAAACAGTGCTACTTTTGTCGATTCTGTTTATGGATCTGTAGTCATAGACTGGGAACATAAATAAGATCAATATATAACATAGGGCACGTGCTGCATCTCCTTGCTCTAGAGACTTTGTATAAAGGGAAGACAAGGATAGTACAGGCTAGGAAGATTGGGGGGCGGGGATAAAACTGGACTCAGGCTGGGAAAAGATATTCTTTGCATCTTTTTTTCCTTGGAAAAGGGGAGGAAAAGGGTGGAAACGGACATCACCTGACCTCTCATTTGTGCCTCCATACAAAATGTGATGGCAGCACACATAATGAGTGAATAGACTTTTGTATTTACCTCTGTCATGCCACATCAAAGGAAAATCAGTGGTGCAACAAAAGGTAGCAATAGGCTTTACTCTAGCAAACATCTATTAGCTCTGTGGCAGGAGAGTAGGAATAGCTTCCACCCCAGTCACCCCATGGATCTGAAGCAACTGCCTGCTTTCACCGCTTAGAGAGGCACCCCAGGGAATTTTGGGGTGCGTCTCCATTAGTAGGAAAATCAGGACTCAGCTAGACCCCCACCCCCACCCATGATTACGGTGGGTGGTTCTGACCAAGTGCAGAAAGGCCCTTCACTGCTCAGGCAGACCCACTCCCTCCCATATGACAAATCCCGTGATTATGGGAGAGCGGATCTGGCTGAGCAGGGAAGTGAGACCAGAACAAGGGGCGGTGTGTGTTCTGGTGAATGAAGCAGATCAGTTGTGCCAAGACCCATCATGGCACAGCTGATCGCTTTGTTCAGTGATGTCTATTTCTAGCTTATGAATATAAACCTTATGTATCATCTAAAAACAAGACAAACCTATTCTTTAGTGTTATATACAGTGGATATGTGCGTTATACTTACTCATATAAAATAAAGTGGTGCAGTGGATACTAATGCCGACAATATTGGTTTATTAATGTGTGTGTTCATTGTTTCTTTTTGTAGTTGATGACGGTCGCGTTAAGGAACTGGACCGAGTGAGAGTTCTTCACAAAAGAACCATAATGCCTTACAGCGTGTATAAGAAAAGACAGAAGGGGCCAAGTGATGAAGCCAGTGTTCAGCAGTATGCAAGTTTGGTGGGGAAAATGTGCTCCGAAAGAATGCTGCTGTTTAGAAGTTGAAGAGTTACTGAATTGTCCTTCTAGGGAACTAAGTTGTGTTGCACTGTTTTTGGAGAAACTAATATAATACTGGGTTGAGATGTCTTTTAAAACAGATCAGTATAAAATTAAAATGCTTGTGTGACTATATAGTACTATATTTAAGGGCAAACTCCATTAATTTGTCAAAATTTAGAAGTAAGGCTTTAGCGATACATAGAAATCCAAGGTAAACTTGCTTGCAGGAATTTTTTTAAAATTAAAGCATTTGGGCCCTTCTTTACATCCTGACTAATTTTAAAGTACCAAAGTGAACTGAAAAACATTTTTTTTTTCCATAGAGGCAAGGTAAACAACATGTTTATTCTGAAAGCTCTGAAATAATATCTTGGAAGTCTGACAAAATTGCCAGAGGTAAATGGGTAACACTTGGATTAGTACATTCCTTAACTACTGCAAGAGAGTTGAAGTGTGCAATTACTTCATTATATGGAATGCAGCTCTATTATATTATACTTCAGTATAATGCAGTGTAAATATATACAGTGAAGCTTGCATAATTTCACTAAACTCTCTTTATATTGCTTTTAAATAGCATTTATTGTCTGAGACCATAGTGGAATTGGTAATAGGTTTATCTGGTAGTGAAGTAAACTTTCCTCTTTACCAGTGAAGCCAAGAATATGTGCATTACAGATTATCAAAGAATGCAACTCAATGGCAGAATGGGTTAATAATGGTAGGTATATCTGTTGACATGTGGTGCACATATGGCTATGAACCCAACTGAAAATGATTTTGGTAGGCTTATCCTAAAGCTTATTTGCACACATTACAAAACCACACTCAAAAACCCTTAGCACTCTTATGTGAAATACCTCTGCTACTCTGCATCAGTGTTCACCTGAAGAGCTGTATGGAGAAGCTTGCTTGTTATTTACCTGTGCTGTTGATGTCCCTGACACTCGTTTACATTGCAGCCATCTACCAATTAACACAGTTAATGACGTTTTGAAATAAATATTTGTACTAGTTGAAAATTCAAGAGGTTATGGTGCTTTGTTATAAGCACTGTATTATCTCTCTATCCATGTTATCATACTTGTGTGCTTAAGCAGGCTTTGTAGTAGCTGATACAATTTTTAGTTGCCTAATATTATATCAATCAATTTTAGTATCCTAACACTCCAATACGTTTGGAGTTTGTTAATCCGTGGCTAAAAGGATCTAGCCTTTGTACTGAATCAGATTGAGGTTACTTATTAATCTTTGAGGGAAGTGATGCCTATTTGAGAAAATTGTGTTTAGGTGCCTAACCAGTGACACGAATTCCTGTGGGATAAAAATAGCCTTTAACCGTCAAAGTTTAAATATACTACCTTTCATTAAATCAATTATATTGATTTAATTTTAAATGCAAAACCACCTACAAACATTGCCATTAATAATAAATAAATCATTTTAAGTGGAGCCAGTTCTGAAATTCAGGTGTAATACAGAACAGATTATTTCCCTTCCACGCCCCAATTTAGGACAGTTATAGTATTATGGGGTTTAAAAATAAGGCCATTAACATACATATTCAACGTGATTACTGCTTTTGAGCTGATCAAAGTGGCAACTTATGTTATCATTACATAGGAAGTAAATGGCCAATCAATGACCATTCAGAAGTAACTTGCATGTGCTGTAAAATACACATAGTTTGCCCATGTTTTAACTGATGGCATCTCCACAAAAGAATCATATGGGCTTCTTGCAAAAGTTACAAAACAAAACAGAACAAAAAACCCGCACTTTACCGAAAGAATCGGCACGTTACTTGGACCCAGCTCCTCAGTGTGTGTAAAGATCAGGTGCTTCAGCGGGGCTTTTTGGTGTTTTTATCTAATAGCTAATTCAATTAGCTATTAGATAAAGGTGCCAGAAAAAGTTCCACTAAAGCACCCGATCTCTACAGACATTGGGCAAACTGGGCCCAACTAATACACTGCCTCTTCTGGGCATGCGCTGGGCTCAATGTGGGAGCGCACAGAATTTAAAGTAAAGCACCAGGGTTTGTTGTCTTTTTAAATATCTGTAAGCAGCCCTACTCTTGTTTTTGAATGTGGTACAAACAGTTGATTTTTCTTTCTAAAGAAGAGAATACTCTTCCCCTGTTATGTTAATGACTCTTTAACTGAAGCATAGTGAAACTGTAAATTGCAGTATAACTCTCTATCCACCACTTTATACAACTGTACACCTGCAAAATATATGGAAATGTAATAATATCCCAAAATAACTTAATGTAATATGAAATTATATACATTTTTCAGAAAGGCACCATCCCAGTGGGGCTTTGATGTTAAAGCAAGATTAAGCAGAGGCTTAAAATTAGATTTACCAGCTCTGCTGTGTTTTGCTTTCTAGATGCATGGATTTATTTCATACTATGCTTCCTCGTTGTTTGTTGTTCACTTACAGCCGAAACTTAGTCATGAGTTTTTTTCAAAAGCATGAAATGTTGGCCTTGTGCTCCCATTAATTTTTGGGGGGAGGAAAATGCTGAGAGCTTCTGAAAATCCCATCCTTAATGCTCAAAGTTCTTACTGACTTTCCTTCCAGAGAGAGAGAGGATTTGTTTTGAAATGTAACATCCTATTTCTTTGGGAGATGCTAAGAGGAGGTACACAACTGAAAACAGTGGGATAGGCATGAAACCGAAAGCTGAGGACTTGCCAAGCATGTTGTTGTCTTGTTTTCCTATATGAACTTTGAGAAGATGCTTCCTCTGACCTCCATTTAAATACAGCCAAGTGGGCTTTTGATTCTTTTTGTTGAACTAAATTGCTTTAATCACCTGATCTAAGAAGTCAAGATATGAATTTTATTTTTTTAAATTTCTTTTAGCTCAGGAGGAAATTACTAGTGCAGTATTTGTCAGTACTACTTCCTCCGTTCTGATTTGGAAACTGGTGAAAAATGCCTGTGGTTAAATTGTAAGTTTCCTCGCTAGCGTTAGGAGAGCCAGAATTTTCCCACTGTATTATAAAATCTTAGTTTTATAAAAGTGATTTAAAAAAATTTTTTTTTGGTCAAGGTAATCTGTACCAATAACTTCCCAGGAGCAAGATTGACTTGTTTTAATCTCTCCATGGTTACTAAATAAGCATAAAAAGAACATGCAAAATTAAGTTAGTACAAACAACTAAATATTTTATTTTAGTTAGAATTAGCTTGGGAGCATATTCATTTCCACCATCAAAGCTTTTAGCAAATATAAAAGAAAGATTTGCTCGATCGTTGTTTATTACTTTTGTAACTGCTTTTTAGCCAGTCTGTTTGACATTTGAATACAATAAAATAAAATAAAATAAAGTGATTTCCTGTGTGCCATGAATTATTATAATTAGTAGCTGTTTGACTATGGCCTTTAGTCTGACTTTTTCAAAACAACTGAGACAGATATATTTTTCTGAGAGAGAGAAGTTAAAAGATAGCATTGAGGGCAGTGCATATCAATGCAAAAGTATGCAGCTTTTCTGTAAAACTATTAATTCCTATTGATAATTTTTGTCCTAGCTAGTTAAACTAGAACAGCTACCTGTTCTACCAGACAGCCTTGGTACAATCAGTTCCTTATTCTGAGATGAACAGAATAATGGCTAATGGCAAAGGGGAGTGGTAGGAGCTGGAATTCATCTGTCTGTCGCTTGGCTGTGGGGTTGAGCCCTAAAGATGGATGGTGTAGAAGTAGTAGTATGTCACTTCTAGCTCATGTCATTACTGTACATAGTACCCAGGTACTGATTCTGATCTATAAATCAAGCTCCTGAATAAGTTTCTCATAAACCAGTCACATGCTATAAAATACACCTTTCACATGGAATATGGCAATATATTTCTTTTATTAAGGTGTCGGGACTCTGTGGCACAAATGAACTCCCCAACCAGTGATCTTATTCCTACAGCCATTTGAACTGAGTAGAGTTTTTATCCTTCATTTTTCAATTTGCAGGCAAGAGACCATTTGCACTAGAGCACTGAAATATGTTCAGCATGAGCTTATTTTTTTTAAATGTAATTACTGTTAAATGAAGTGTGATGGATACTTTGTGGAGTTCAGACAGTTCTCAGTTGTTAATTCTGTGCTCTAAGACTATGTAGGAAAAAGCATTTCATGATTAATGGGGCTGGTTGATAACACAGTTAAAAAACTACCTTCAGAAGCCTCATTACAGGTTTGTGATTGAGGACATCAAGTTCTTAACTGTATCCTGGCTGAAAAACTTCACTGAACTGTCCAAGGATGACAGAGGAGCAGGTTATGCCTGAAAATGGATGGAAAGGATGCAAAGTATTTCCTCTTATAAAGAATCTAACATAAACATTGGATTGTAAACATAAGTTATTAGTACCAGCATGGATAAAACCTCTATTTAAAAATATTATATGATGCAGTAGTCCTGATCTACTGATCTACTTGACAGTCAACAAGACTGAGACAGAATCTGATTGCTATCTACCAGTACATCAAAAGGGTGAACACCAGTGACACAGAAGAGCTATTTAAGCAAAAGGCCAATGTTGGCATGAGAATGCATGGCCGTGAATTAACTTAGGCTGAAAACTATTAGAATAGCAAAGTTTTGGAACAGCCTTTAGTCAAAAAACCCTGAACATGTTTAAGATGGATCTTGATAACTTTATGAAAAGAGTCGTACAGCATTTTGCCTGCAGTAGCGGAGAGCTGAACCTTGATCCAGGACCTCCCATCCAGTCCTGTGTTCCTAAATGTTGATAATGAAATACATAATGCCAAGGAAAGGAGCTTTTTAAAACTGCAAAGCTGGTTTTCATGGAAAACACTGCAGAACAAGACTAAACCTTTTCTTTCAACACAGGACCACAACCGCGACCATATATTGAAATAAACAGTCTAGGAAAACCAGTAGAAAACTGGTCTCTTCCTATGTTAATGCTTGACTTCTTAAATTCATAAATGTTATGATTAATTATAAAGAAAATACGAAGCAGTTCTGTT